ATATGGTAGCATGGAGGTTGAAGGAAATTCTAATGTCCTTAAAACCATGGACTAGAGAGGGAAATGAAGAATATAAAATTCATCTTTTGTTCTTCCATCTGGATTGTCCTGAACCATTTCCAAACAGAAGATACTTTCTCAGGAATTTTTCTCGGGGGTGGGGGGCTGGGGGAAGATTACTCAGGCTCCAAATAGAGCCTGACTTCAGATGACTGACATAAAGGCCTTGGGAAGACTCTTGGGTAATGGACTTTAATTAAAACCGAGGAGTAGTGGGTTACCTAAGGTAGGAATAGAAGTGTCCATAAATGCAATAATTTCAACATGTTAGGAAAATAAAAAATTCAATATTTTAGGAACACATATAACAAAATATAGTTATAGTATACCATTAAGATTATCAGTAAGATTTTGCTTTTTCTTTTGAGGTACTGGGGATTAAACCCAGATGCTCCTCATGCTAGGCAAACACTCTACCACTGATCAACACCTCCAGCTCTTTTTATTTTTTATTTGGCAAGAGGGTCTAGCTAAATTTCTCAGGTTGGCCTCAAACTTGAGGTCCTTTCATTCAGCCTTCTAAATAGCTGAGATTATAAGTATGGACCACCACACCTGACTAACAAGAAATTTTTATCAAAAACTAGTCTTAGGGTTTAGGGTCAAGAACTCAGCACATGGATTCTGTATCTGTGAGCTCTAAGGGGAAGCAAGAGGTATCCAAAAATAGTTTCCTTCTATTGAAGAGGATACACTGCAGTGATCATTTCCGCTGATATTGTGGGGTTGTGTTAAGAGCACCATGTTATGTGAGCCACAATTTATGCAGCTCATTATTTATTATGTAAGAGTATATTGTTCCAATCAACTCAACAGAGAATTTAAATGGTTTTGACCAGTTAAGTTTTAACATATTTTATTACATACTGAATTATTATACTGCATGGTAATTAGACATGAATATTACACTTATTTTTTTTCTTTTCATTTTGTCATTTCTTGAACATTTAAAACCAAGGTCAGTTTATGTTCCTGATGCCAAGTACCTTTTAACCATCTATATTAGTATGTTTTCTGTTACCATAACAAAATACTATAGGCTGGGTATTTAAAAAGAAAAGAAGTTTATTTAACTCACAGTTTTAGAGGCTGAAAATCCAAAGAGCACAGCACCAATTCTGGTGAGGGCCCCTAGCTACATCATCTTGGAAGAGGGTATCATAATGGCAGGAGCACTAGCAAGAGTAAAAGGTAATCAGGCAAGACAGGAAGCCAAAAGAGGGAGCACAGCTAGTCTGGTTAATTTTAAGCAACTGTTCAAACTTACCAAAGGGTACCCTGAGAACTGCTTTAATCTCTTCAGAGGAGAGTTGCCTCAGTGATATTCCACTACTAAGCTCAATAGCTTAAAGTCCTCCCTCCTCTTTACCACCACACAGAGGACCAAGGCTCCAACACATGAACTGCTGGGAGACAGACCACATCCAAACAATAGCATTATTATCCTTTTTCCCCCCATAACTTTTTAGTCATCTATGTGATTCAATTTCTTCTCCTCAGTACCTGAGCCCATGCCCTTGAGTCGGGGATTTCTGTATCTAAGTATTTTATCCCAACATGTCTCTGCTCTTCCCTCATCTCATTCATTCTTGAAGATTTGAGCCAGCTGCATTTTTGCCCCCATTCCTGCTACTTATGACTTAGGCAAGGAAAGGCTTAATGTGGCAGGAATCCTGGGACATAAAATAAAATTGCAGAATCAACAGAAGGGCAACAGTAACATTACAATGTTGTAGATGGGAAAGAAAAAGATCAGAAATGGCAAATGGAAGGTGACAAGGGAAGTGGGATTCCTATAATTTAGGTTCCTCTGTAAATTGTATTGGAGTACCAATGACATGCCCTCTCTGCAAGAGCAAACAAGCAAGAGGAGATGTGAAACAATAAGAAATATACAACTAGTCTGTGCGTTCACCCTGCCCTGTTTCCTAGCACACAGCTCCGAACCCCCTTGGAATTTCCTAAGCAATAAGTGTCTTTTTGCTTGCTCATGAAATAACTGATGACTAGGAGTTCCTGGATACACTCTAAATGGGGGCTGGTTACCTGGGGAACCAACAGTGTGATTAGAGGGTTGAAACTTTCATCCCCACCCCCTGACTCTCAAAGAGGGGAGAGGTTTGTGGCTGAAGGTTGAGTTAATCACTGAGGGACAATGGTTTAATCAATCATGACAATGTAATGAAGCCTCCACAAAAACCCAAAGAGGGTTTGGAGAAGTCCAGATTGCTAGGAAGTGCTAAGAGAGTGGCAGAAGTCAAAACGGGAATGGAAAGTCCGTGCCCCTTCTCCATACTGCCCTAGTCATTTCTTCCAAATGGCTTTTCATCTATATCTTTTGTAACATACTTGATAATAAACTGTTAAACATAACAAATAATAAACTTCTAAACTTGTAAACAAATTTCCCTGTGTTCTGTGAGGCATTCTAGCAAATGATCAAACCTGAGGAGGGGGTTTCTGGAACTTCTAATTTATAGCTGGTTAGTCAGAGGCAAGATTGGAATCTGAGCTTGTGATTGGCAACTGAAATTGAGGAAAGTCTTGTGGAACTGAGCCCTTGACCTGTAGAATCCACACTAACTTTGGTTAGTGCCAGAATAGAGTTAAATTATAGGACTCCCAGTTGGTGTTAGAGAATTGGTCAATGTGGGAAAAAACCCATATACATTTTGATGACCTGAAGTGTTCTGTTGAGAGTATAGCAGGAGAAAACACTTGGTTTATTTTCCTGTTATGCAGGAGACCTCTTTGTAACTGTAATAGTTGCAAAGATCACCAAGACCCGCCCCAGGAATGAAAACGTTATTCTCTCCAGTTACAGCACTCAGCTGTCAGTCTTAAGAATTGTCTGGGGCTGGGGTTGTGGCTCAGTAGTAGAGCACCCGACTAGCACGGGTGAGGCCCTGGCTTCGATCCTCTCAGCACTACATAAAAATAAATAAATAAAATAAAGGTATTGTGTCCAATTACAACTAAAATATCAAAATTAAAATAAAAATTGTCTGGGATCAGGAGAACTGAACTGCCTGGCCCTTGACCACTTTCTTTCTTGTAACATCTTATATCCAATGACTAGTTAAATATAAAGACCAGCTCCTTCACTCCAACAAGAGACATCTCTGAAAATCCACCTCATCTTCAGAGTTCACTGTGGAGTCAGCTGAGGCTTTCTTTGAGCCTAGCTCCTCCCTCTATCTATGCTTTCTTCCCTTCCCTTCAACAGGTGGTGAAGCCAGGAGGTACGACCTGCATACCAGCCTCCATTCCAGAGTCTGCCTCCTGGGGCCCCATCCTGTGGGACTGAGTGTGCATGTCTATAAAACAGAACATGAGCACAGCAGCAAATGAAAAATAGATGTATTGAGCTTCAAAAGGTAAACCTTCACACATCAAAGGACATTATCAGAAAAGGCAACCTGTGGAATGGAAGAAAATATTTACAAGCCATATATCTAATAAGGGATTAAAATCCAGAATATATAAAGAACGTCTACATCTCAGTGGTCAAAAAAAATCAAAACATGGGCAAAGGGTTTAAATAGACATTTGTCCAAATAAGATATACAGATGCCAGTGAACCCATAGAAAATGCTAACATCACTAATTATTAGGGAAATGCAATTCAAAATCACAAGAGATGCCACTTCATTCCCATTGGGATGGCCAGAAAATAAATGTTGGTGAAGATGTAGAGAAATTGGAACTCTTATGCATTGCTGATAAGAATGTAAATGGTACTGCTACTGTGGAAACCAAAAAAGCTTCCAAAGTAAGTCTAATATACAGCTAATACTGACAACTGCTATAATTAAACCCATGAAGTCCCACTAACCCAGATTTGCCTGCAAAGGTACTCAGTGTAATCATGGACCTTTAGAATTACAAGGAAACTGAAAGCACATCTGGTCCACAAACAGAATACAATTAGTGTATAACACAGCAATTTCACTTCTGAGCATATTCTCCAAATAATTTAAACAGGGACTCAGATATCTGTGCACCAATTTTACAACAAAATAATTCACTGTAGCTCAAATACCATCAATAGATGAGGGATAAACAACATGTGGTATGTACATACAATGGAATATTATTCAGCCTTAGAAAGGAAGGAAATGCTGACACATCCTACAACATGGATGAACATTGAGGGCATTAGGCTAAGTGAAATAACCAATCACAAAAGGCAAATTCTGTGTGATTCTACTTGAATGAGGAACCTAGATAAGTCAAATTCATAGAGACATGAATTGGAATGGTATTTGCAAGGGGTTGGGGGAGGAAGGAATAGGGAATTAGTGTTCAGTGGGTACAGGGCTTTGGTTTGGGATAATGAAATTTCTGGAAATGGATGTTGCACAACAGTGTGTATAATTAATGCCTCTGAGCTGTGCACTTAAAAATGGTTAAAACAGCACTGGAGCTGTGGCTCAATGGTAGAGTGCCTGGCATGCGTGAGGCACTGGGTTTGATCCTCACATAAAAATAAAATAAAGGTATTGTGTGCACCTACAACTAAAAAATGTATTTTTAAAAATGGTTAAAACAAAAAGTTTTTTGTATATTTTGCTTCAATAATAATTATTTAACTAAAAAATACAAGAGTGGGGTACATACCTGTAATCCCAGCTTCTTGGGAGGCTAGGGGAAAAGGATGTTCAAGGCCAGCCTGGGAATTTAGCAAGACCCTGTGTCAAAATAAAATAAAAAGGATTGGGATGCAGTTCAGTAGTAGAGTGCCCCTGAGTTTAATCACCAACAGAAAAAAAAAAAAAAGCACCTAGGACCACATGTGCTTTCAGTTTCCTTGTAATTCTAAAGGTCCATGATTACACTAAATACCTCTGCAGCCAAATCTGGGTTAGTAGGACTTCAGGGGTTTAATTTAGCAGTTGTCATTATTAGCTGTATATTAGAACTACTTTGGAAGCTTTTTTTTTTTTTTTTTTTGAGTATGCCTTGACTACACCATAGTGATTCATATGTGATTGTCTCTAAGCCTTGGTACTTTTAAAAGCTGCTGGTGATACCAATATATAAACACAGTTAAGATTTACTGGGCTAGAAGAATATAGGCCATAGCTTCCCTGCTCAGTTGCTACTATTGCCCTGAGGATTTGACCACCTGCTTATCTTTCTAGACTCATCTTTCTGACTCCTTCCTCCTACACACAGACAAACTATAACTGAACCACTTCTCTCCTGTCAAACCCTATCTGACTTCTATCCCTTTGTTCATGTTTCCTCTGACGAGACCGCCTTCCTCAGATTGATGCCACCCTAGTGGACCCCTTCTTGGAAAACTTTCCCTCAGCATCCTCATGTGTGCCTCTGTTCTGAACTCTGGAAACATTTCACGTGGCAGCCCCCATCCTGGAAACTTTGTGGGGATCTGCATACCTCACAGGGCAGCGAGTGAGTCTGCTTACCTGCTTTCCTAGTACAAGGTAGGAGCCAGGCACCAAGAAAATTGTTAATAGATATTTATCTAACAGATTTCTTTAATAAGAGATCATTCATTCGCAATTAAATAGTATTTTTAAAGAAAATGCTTTGGGAAGAATTAGCATGCCTGTATAAACAAGGCGGTTTTTAAAAACCATTCACTGAACCATTATTATGTTTCATGGATTGTGTTAGTGCTTTACTTGGAGTTTCTTATTGAATCTCCACAGCAACCCTAGGAGCAGATAGTATTAGCTCCATATTAGAAGAGAAAATATTCAGTCAGGTAAAGAACCTGTCTGGGATCCCAGCTAGTGTGCAGCAGAGCTGGGAATTTCTTTGGGGATATAAGTGATGGTTCCTAATATGGGGAAAGGGACAGAGCAAATATGTTAGAGATCAGTAGGTGCCAGATGCCAATGTCTCGGCTTGGCACAGAATCAGGAGCCACCACACACCTTGTAGATTCAAACAGCAATTCTTTATTCAGAACTCACACTGCCTCCACACAGGTCCAGGGGCAATCCCAATCTCCCGCACAATTCAAGTCCTAAATACTTTCTCTCCATGAGAACTCAGCAGGAACTCAGGCAGCAGGCCCTACTCCCAGCAGGAATAATCTTCAACCTCCAACTTCCCTAAAACTCCTATTGTCACGCCCTAAACCCAAGGACGGGGATACTTCCTGCAAGATACACCCTAATCCTGGATCCACCCTGGTGATTGAGTAGGGTCACCTTTCTCAAACACACAAGCAAGGTCGCAGCAAATTTCCAAGGCAAGTCCATTTAACATGGGGTACGCTGCAAGGATTTCCATGCGTCATTCCTACTTGGTAATGGCCCTCAGCAAGTAGGAATCTAAAAGGAGGTGAGGGGCTCTTGTTATTGATAGGAAAGAAGAAGAGCCAGACAGAAAAGACAAACTTTAACATTTTCCCTATTTTGCTCAGCCTTCAGATTAATTGAGTAGTTATTTAAATCACAAACACAGACTGGAAGGTGGGCACTATGAAGTTCATTCCTCAGATAAATTCAACTAAATTCAACCCAACAATATTTATTGAAGTTCTGTGGTTTCCAGAAACAGTGCAAGACATTAATGCCACACACAAATGACACAAGATCTTTGCCAACAAAGTTCTCACTCTAGTGAGGATGAGAGGTACACTATCAACAGATATGCCATGTACAATGGTATATTTATTTTTTCTTACAGTTCTGGGTGTTGAACCTAAGGCCTTGTATGTACTCTACCACGGAGCTATATCACCATCCCAATGGTATGTATTCTTATAATCAACGTATGTGTTAAGAATTATGAAATACAAAGAAACTCAGTTTTCCAGAGAAACCAGGGAGGGTTTCACAATAGAACTGGCGTTTGAACTTGGTGAATGAATAGAAGATCATGTGGAAAGTGAAAATGTAAAGTTTAGCAGTTGCAAAAGTGTAACTAGTAGGTTAAAAACTAGCCACTGAGTCAGGATTATCGTGGCAGATATCTTAGTCTGTTTTGTGCTTCTATAACAGAATCCCTAAGACTGAATAATTTATAAAGAATGGGGATTTATTTCTAATAGTTCTGAAAGTTGGGAAGTCCAGGGTTGAGGGTCATGTATCTGGTAGGGCCTTCTTCCTACATCATCCAATGGTTTAAGGTGAAAAGGCAAGAGCATTAGCAGGTGGTGGTGGAGGAGGAGGAGGAGGAGGAAGAGGGAATTTTTCCTTTTATCAGGAGCCCATTCTTAGGAAAACAGCATTAATCTGTTCAAAAAGGCAGAGCCCTCATGACCAAATCACTCCTGAAAGGTCCACCCTGTCAACAATATTGCACTGGGGATTAAGTTTCAATACATGAATTTTCAGGGACACACTGAAGCCATAGCAATGGGGGAAGAGAGGCAGGAGAGGGGAAAAGAGAGAGAGAGATCTTTCCCTGGATTTTCAGTTTTCCTTTTGTAAGAGTTCTCTTTATTCTCTCATTCAGGTCTCCAAAGATTCTATGTCCACTGCATTACTTCGCCTCCCAGAAGTGCTTTAATGTTATCTGGCAGTCAGGCATTCATTTAAAAAAAATCAACAATATGTTATTCTGCTGTCTCCCTAACCTGACATCGTGGAAACCTGGCAATCTTGATTTTTCTCACTTTTTTCACTCCCTTTTCTCAATTGCTCACCAAGTTGTAAAGATTATTTTAAGACTATTAATTATAATTATCTAAATATTATTATATATCACCAAGAATCCCAGGTTTCTAGTTTAAACAACTAGGCAACTTGATTGAATTAACAAAACTAAGAACATAGAAGTAGGTTAACATTCAGTTGTTTTTATTTTACTTTATTTTTTATTTGTTGTTATTTAATTAGTTATACATGAAAATAGAATACATTTATGCACTTTGATATATCATACATAGATGGGATATAATTTCTCATTTTTCTGAGTATACATACAGTCGAATCATAGTGGTCATGCATATATACATAAATAATAATGTCTATTTCGTTCTACTATCTTTCCTATCCCCACATCCCCTCCTCTCCCTTATCACATAGAATGTAAAGTACTAGGGACATTTAACTAGAGCAGAAATCATATAGTAGGCATGATGATGTGATCCAAGATGCCATACATCTGGGGGCAAAGTGGTATAGTGGACATGGCTTTGGAACTCAAGAGACCAAAGCTCCCCAACTGCCACTTAATTCTGTGAACACTTGAGGATGGGACCAATCCTTTCTGAATCTCATACACAAAATAGAAACAATATTAACTTGGGGTTGTGTTCAGATCAGCAATAGTGTATGCAAGCTCTGAGCACTGCTGGGCTAAGTTGGCATTTTGTAGTTTTTGTTGTTTAAGCACAGGGTCAGAAATAATTGACTTAGAGGAGGATAAGGAAGGGACAGTGACCTGTGTTTAAAAGAGGAAAAGAAACAAGGGGAAAGACTATTTCCTCAAAGTGCTTGGCTTAAGGCAAAGTGGAATGACCATTCCTAAAGGGATTTTTTATGTTCTAGAAGTAAATGCTTGGCAGGTAGGAATGAAACCATACACCATATTCATTTCATACCATCATCACTCTCAAAGGAGTAAAATCCCTATGGTATTCGCACTGGTCTTCATACTAACCCTATACATGCTCTTTTCCAACCCCTTCCAGAGGAGAAGGGAGGACAATGGGCAGAAGGACCATCCCTCTCAGCTTATTCATACCTGAATTTCCTTGCAGGTATAACATATCCTTTCACTTTAGAATAGAGCAAAAGGTCAATGAAATTCATTAATTCCTAACTAATAACCAGTTGGTTAAATTATAATGATTAAAATGATGTCCTTTCCTATTTTGAAAAGATGAAGGAATCAAAACAGTAGGGGAGATTTGAATATTGAAATTGGATAAACAGTTAGGAGAGTTGTTTAAAATTAGAAGTTAAGCACTAGAGCTGTTGCTCAGTGGTAGAGTGCTTGCCTAGCATGTGTGAGGCGCTGGGTTCAATCTTTAGCACCACATAAAAGTAGATTAAATAAAGGCATCCACTCCATCCACAACCACAAAAAAAGAGAGAGAGAGAGAGAGAGAGAGAGAGAGAGAGAGAGAGAGAGAGAGAAAGTTAAAACAAAAGTGAAGAATGAGTATACAGAAAGCACTTCAGTTTTGGCTTTGAGTGGGTTTCCAATATTTGACTGACATTAACTACATGTAAGATGTTTGTTGTAAGATGCCATTGTTGGCAGCTATACATCTAGAAATTTTTGAAACTGTTGTTATGTTGACTTTGTTCTAAATGAGTGTTGTTCTCTGAGAATTTCAGAACCATCCTAGAACCAACCCAGGAACTTTGTTCTCTGAGAGTTTCAGAACCTTCCAAAATGCCAGAGCTTCCCAGACATTAGTGCAATTCAACACACAGAATAGCACTGTATGCAAGATGCCACACACCACCAAGATGCCAGGGAGTGAGATGAATAAAAGTAGCCCGGCCCTAAGTGTGCTTCCAGTGTGGGAGACTTGGAGGTGGCTAAGGGGTGCATATAGAAGATGAGGGTGAGGGAGGTGATGTCCACATTAACAAGTATATTTACAAATTCCCCAGAATGACTGGAGTCTTGACCTATTTGCAGCCATTATGTAATCACTGAAACAAGTCCAGATAAATTATTCAAAATCTCCAAATGCCAATTCCTTTTAATTTTAAATAACAAGCATCCCTGAGAGGGATGATTTTCAGAACGATGACTAAGGGAAAATATTTTTCCAGCAGGGTTTTTGCACAGGAAAAATTTCATTGCTTCCATCCCTTCATCCCACACCCCACATTCCATACCCTTTGGTGTAAAAATATTTGTATTTAAATAATTTTAAATGTCATGCATTTCTAATTAAAAGCAATTCTGTGCTCAGAAGAACAGAGATTAATTACTTTAAATCAATGAAAAAAACTAAATTTTCCTCAAAGGAAAATTTCATGAGATTCAACGGTAGTTTAAGTGTAATGAGTTTAATCCCATTGGTTACAAGTGGTCTCTGGTGATTACTGAGTCCCAGCTGCCTCCTGCAGCAGGAGTATATAGGACTTTCCTGATATTCTTTCCTTTATCTCTTATCCTTCCTACCTTTAAGTACCCAAGGACTGCTTTTGCACAAAATATTTCAGTTCCCTTGAAAAATGCATTTTCCTCTGCCTTACCCTCTGGTCCGTGGGATCCATCTGATGAAAGGTCCTTGATTTCAGCTACCCACAGCCCTTCTTCTTTAACACCACAGCCTATTTCTTTATTTTCCACCCAGCCAGAAAACTGCATTCCCTTATCCACAGTGATTGGTTCAGGAATGGAAACATTTGGAAGACAAGTCAATCAAAGCCTATAGCAAAGAAGTAGTAAAGATGAGGAGAGGTAACTTCCTGATGATTTTATGTTACTCCTTGGATTCCACTCTCCCTGTCATGATTAATTCCATGTTTCAGAAACACCATTCTACCTGTTGTTGTGGGTTTTGGGGGTCTTTTTGTTTCTTTTTTTATTGTTTGTTTTTATATATGATTACATTTGTCTGTAGACTTTGGGAAAAGCAGATTACTCTCCATAATGTGGGAGGCCCTCATTTAATCAGTTGAAGGCCTTAAGTGCAAAGACTGAAGTTTCCCAGAGTACTACAGAGTACAATATAGAACCTTGGTTGAGCCTAATGCCCTGCATAATTTGGACTCAAGACTGTAACATCAACTGTTAATCTGAATTTCCAGCCTGTTGGCCCACTCTGTAAGTTGCCCTCGTAAGCACAAGTGAATTCCTTAAAATATCACCCCTCATGGATTCTGTTTCTCCGGAGAACCCCAATTAATGCACTGACAATGTACTTTCATCTTTGAATTATCCAATGTCTTACTTTTGTGTTTGTTTTAGCCAGCTTGAATAGAGTTGCCATCACCTGAAACTAAGAGTTGAACAGTCCAGAGTATAAATGGATGGAGTCCCCTATAGGTTAATTAATGAAAGATTTTCCCAGGATTTTGCCTTCCTTATTAGCTACAAGTAACAAGCTACTTAAGGACACAATTGTGTCTGATGCTTTTTTTGCTTCAAATTCCTTGAAACTTGATCAGGCTAATAAATGTTGACTGAGCTGAATTACAGAATGAGGTGGCCTGGAATGCTCACCTATTGGGATTACCCTTTTATTTAGAGATTAATATCCTTTGACATTGAAGAAATCCAACAGTGACTGCAGGTTTTATCATTTGTATTAAGAACCATAGAAAGTAGGTTCAATAGCATTATTGTTATAGAATTGTTCAGAGGTTGTTGCAGTGACTTTATTTATGTCCTTATATGTATATGTCTATTATAGATGTACACAGGTTTCATTCTGGATGTTTGGATTGGATAGTACACACTTCTTAGCTCCACCAAACCAGCACCCTTCCAAGGACACTGGTCAGAATTAGCACAGACACTGTATATTGGTTTGCTAGGGTGACTATCACACAGCATAAACAGCAGAAATCCATTGCCTCATAGTTCTGGATGCCAGAAACCCAAGATCAAGGTTGAAGGTAGGGCCATACTCCCTCTGAAGGCACTAGGGAAGTATTGTTTCCAGACCTTTCTCTTAGCTTCTGGTAGTCCCTCGGCTTGTGGAAGCATAACTTCAGTCTTCACGTGGCATTCTCTCTGCATATGTGACAATCTCCAAATTTCCCCTTTTTATGAAGACACCATTCATATGGTATTACAGGCCCACCCTACTCATTACCTCATCTTAACTAATTACACTTGCAACACCCCTGTGTCCAAATAAGGAGACATATTTGGACACCAAGAATCAGGATTTTAACATGAATGTTGAGGGGAGACAACTCGGTTCATGACAATGTTTGTATTTCCTTAATCTTCAGAGCAACATTCATAGGCGGGCACTAGAGCTGAGCGAGTGATAGGAGGAAGGAACACTGGTCTCCAGAGCTAGGAAATACATTGCTAGGACTACTCACTTACTGCCCTATAGTTACTGCTGTAGATTACTATGCCAAGCAGTTATTGTTATTTTTACTGCAGTGCTAGAGATCAGATCCAGCATGCAAAGCACATGCCCTGCCTCTGAGCTATACACCAGCCCTAAGCAAACAATTTCTACTCTGGCACTCCAGGCTTGCAACCCACTCTAGTGAGTTCTCTTTCCTTCTCCCATATTTTCTAGTTAGTTTTTAACCTATTGCTTCCTTCTCCTTAAAGAGCAAATAACCAAGAAACAAGAATTAGAAACAACAGAAAAAGAAAGGAAGTAGAGAAAGAGTGTTTTTAAATAACAGTGTTTAAAATGACACATGCATTGTTTTCTGTGACATATAGAACCAAGATAAACACAAAAAGTAATTTTCTCAGGTTCCAGTTGTTTTTTATCACTCAGACAGAATGGTGCTCCATAGAGCATGAGGAACATTGTGCTATTGCAAACTCTCTGTACCAGAGCAGGAGGAAGCCAGTGCATCTGACTCTTGCCAAAGACAATTCTTCCAAGTGACTGGGGAGAGGGAACCTAGATGGGGGGAATGGGGTTCTTCAAGAAAGCCAGTGATTGTGTGTAAACAATTTGACTAAGGAACACTGACAACAGTCCCACATGCCATCTCTGTCATGCTTGCTATAGGTCAGTCACCTACTCTTTTTTTTTTTCTTTTTCTTTCCACATTTTTTAAATTGGTACGTAATAGTTGTACATAATAATGGGACTGACCCCTAATCCTGAAAATTTCCAGCATGGTCCCTGGTTCATGAAGATTCGTGAGCACGGGCTTGTTGCAGTGGGTAATAGCATGTAGCTCCTATATAGCCAAGTAAATAAGTACCAGATTAGAGGCCCAGCACCTACATAAAAGATACAGATTCTAAAAAAAAAAAAATAAAATAAAGTTTTAAATGAATTAACAATGTTATTACTACTGATACTTGACATATTACTAATAAATCAGTAGGAAATTTGGGGAAAGATGATGAAAATTTTATGGGCCAGAAAGAATATATTTTGTCCAGATCTCATCGGAAATCACAGACATTTCATGAGTTTTCCTCTGATTCTTCCAGAACTGCCAAGGAGAAAATAAAAGGTTATCCCAGAGCTTCAGCTTTTCTCTCATCTACTCGATGCCAAGTAGTAAAATGAGAGAAAATGGAATTCTCACCATATTTGAATCATATAAGTCAGAGGTTTTGCTTTATAAAAATCCAGCCTGCTTAAAATGGGCCCAACTCCTGGCCTATAGTGTCCAAAAAATGTTATTTGAAATAAATTGCACTCTATTAACAAAACCCACCAATTGTAATATTTTTTCTGTTTTTCGGAGCAAAATACAAGTCAAGATAAGATGTATACTCTGAAAAAGGCTATGTCCCTAAGCTTCAGATTAAACTATATTAATTTCTAGCCACTCTTTTTTAAAATTGATTGATTGATTGATTGATTGATGCCTAGGATGGAACCCAGTGCCTCACACATGCTAGGCAAGGGCTTCATGACTGAGCTACAATCCTAGCCCCTCTAGTTACGCTTTAAATATGAGGTTAAAATAAAATTAAAAATAAATAAATAAATAAATAAATAAATAAATATGAGGTTTGCTCATAAGGTTATTTGGTAAAATCAGTATTGTATGCAAACTACAATTTGCAGGTAGTAAAATGCTTTATGCCTGTGTGACAATATTGTAAAATGGATCTAGACAATTTCAAAATACAAACAAAATAGTTGCTCTAATAACTAGTTTAATTTGAGAACTGGAGTAAAATATAACTTTTTCTCCTAAAATGTGTTTTCCGTGGTGCATCAAAACAGTTTGCAAAGCTTGGGGGAAGAAAAAAAATACCACCTGATACAATATTCAGTGGAAGGCCAGCAGGGCTACACATTATGAAAACAATGAATGGATCACTAACATTCTTCAAGGTAAAGGCTCAAATCATTGACAATATACCACAGAGAAGCAGTTATCAATTACATTTTAAAATAATATGGGTAATATTGGCTTGCTTTGGAATAAGATCAATTTCCTAAAAAACACTTGTAAGCATCTTTGACTAAATTCCATAAATAGAATAATTTCTAGAATAAATATATGGAGAAAGAATCATTTTCTATTCTCTCTCTCTCTCTCTCTCTCTCTCTCTCTCTCTCTCTCTCAGTCTTCTCTTAAATCTCACTAAAGGTCCTCAACCCAGAGGAAAGCAGTGGTTTTCAGTGGGGGGTTTTTAGCACCCCACCCTCCAGACATTTGGAAACATCTAGAAACATTTTTTGTTGACACATGGAAGGTGAGGACAAGGGTAAAAGGAAGGTGCTACTAGTATCTAGTGGGAAGAGATCAGGGATACTGCTAAACATCCTGTAATGCACCAGCCAGTCCCACAACAGAATTATCTGGTTGCAAATATCAATAATTCAGAGACTGAGAAACACTGGTCTAAAGGTACAACAGCCCTTTGAAACCCACATAAGCTGGGGGAATTGCAGATCAGCAGTTCCAGCAAAGAAATTCAATTTTCAAATTGGATGTGTGAAGAAATCTCAGAACTGTTTTGATTCTTTGTCCTACCCCATCTTCTCAAGTAAAATTCTAAAAGAAACATTATGGTAAATAATCAGGATTGTCTATTTTATACCACAGTTTTTCAAAGTGTGGCCTGTGCCTTAGCCTGGGATTTCTGGCAATCATAGTAGACACTCTGTTAGTTTTCTCCTTGGTCCTGAAAGTTCTTACTGTCTATTTTAAAAATGAATGCTGCATGAAATTCTCTATTCCACATCATTCAATTGCACTTTTTGTTTTATTTGGGTTTTTATTTGTTTTTTCTTTCTCATTCTCCAAGCCTTCGTTTAAGACAGCATGTAATTTTCAGGTAACAAGTTTCAAGAAAATTGTTTTGTGAATAATAATGGAGACTTTATGATTCACAAGCTCTAGGGGACTTCAGTATAATTTTATTTTCACAAACTAAGAGTCAGTTATGGCAAGTATCTTTCCATTCTTGAAAACCATATAGCACATTTTTATTCCCCAGCCAGTTGCCTGTCCTGCCTACCAAAGCTCTGAACTGATTGTGCTCATGACCTTAGTCTTCTTCAGGGAGCCCACCACTCCTTTATGAACAAGTCTACTGTGGTCAACCAATTGAGGAGGGTTTACCTCAATTAAAATGCCAGAGGCTTTCAAAGTACAGCTGTTAGATACTAGAAAAGTTAGTTATAGCCAGGCACGGTGGCTCACACCTGTAATCCCAGCAACTCAGTAGGCTGAGTGAGGAGGATCATAAGTTCAAAGGCAGCCTCAGCAATTTAGCAGGACCATAAGCAACTTAGGAAGACCCTGTTTCAAAATGAAAAATAAGAAGGCTGGCAATGTGGCTCAATAGTTTAGAGCCTCTCAGTTCAATCCCTGCTACCAAAAGGAAAGAAAAAAAAAAGATATTGGTACCAAGCAAGACATTTTAAGCAAATAAAACATCATTTAGCAAAACTACCTGCCAGCCAAACAAACAGAATGCAAGAGAAAACCTAGCAATAATCCATACAATTAACCTGTACAAAATGACACAGTATCTTTTATAACAGTTAAATCATAGAAAGCAGGCTGGGGTTGTGGCTCAGTGGTAGAGCAGTTGCCTGGTATGTGTGAGGCACTGGGTTTGGATCCTCATCACCACATAAAAATAAATAAATAAATAAAAATAAAGGTATTCAGCAAAGTAGTAGGATATAAAATCAACACCCATAAATCAAAGGCATTTCTGTAGATCAAATCTCCTCTGAGAAGGAAATGAGGAAAACTACCCCATTTACAATAACCTCAAAAAAAAAAAAAAGATACTTGGGAATCAACAAAAGAGGTCTTGGATAGGCAGAATTAATATTATCAAAATGACCATACTACCAAAAGCACTATACTGATTTAATGCAATTCTGATCAAAATCCTAATGGTATTCCCCATAGAAATAGAAAAAGCAATCATGAAATTCATCTGGAAAAATAAGAGACCCAGAATAGCTAAAGCAATGCTTAGCAGGAAGAGTAAAGCAGGTGGCATCACTATACCAGACCTTAAACTATACTACAGAGCAATAGTAACAGAAATAACATGGTATTTGCACCAAAACAGGCTGGTAGACCAATGGTACAGAACAGAGTACACAGAGACTAACCCACACAATTACAATTATCTTATATTAGACCAAGGTGCCAAAAACATGCATTGGAGAAAAGAGCCTCTTCTATAAAATGGTGCTGGGAAAACTGGAAATCCATATGCAAAAAAATGAAATTAAACCCCTATCTCTCACCATGCACAAAACTCAACTCAAAGAGGATCAAGGACCTAGGAATTAAATCAGATACTCTGCATCTAATAGAAGAAAAAGTAACTCACTCTTTATAATGTGAGTTAGGCCCCAGCTTCCTAAATAAGACTCCTATAGTGCAAGAATTAAAATCAAGAATCAATAAATGGGTTGGACTCAAACTAAAAAGTTTCTTCTCAGCAAAAGAAACAATCTGTGAGGTGAACAGAGAGCCTACATCCTGGGAGCAAATTTTTACCTCTCACACATCAGATAGAGCACTAATCTCTAGGGTATATAAAGAACTCAAAAAGCTAAGCACCAAAAAAAACAATAGCCCAATCAACAAATGGGCCAAGGACCTGAACAGACACTTCTCAGAAGATGATATACAATCAATCAACAAATATAAGAAAAAATGTGCATCATCTCTAGCAATTAGATAAATGCAAATCAAAACTACTCTATCTCACTCTAGTCAGAATGGCAGCTATTATTAAGACAAACAACAATAAGTGTTGGCGAAGATGTGGGGAAAAAGGTACACTCATACATTGCTGATAGGACTGCAAATTGGTGCTGCCAATATGGAAAGCAGTATGGAGATTCCTTGGAAATCTGGGAATGGAGCTACCATTTGACCCAGCTATCCTACTCCTTGGTCTATACCCCAAAGACTTAAAAACAGCATACTACAGGGACACAGCCACATCAATGTTTATAGCAGCACAATTCACAATAGCTAAATTGTAGAACCAACCAAATGGCCTTCAGTAGATGAATGGATTATACACAATGGAATTTTACTCGGCAATAAAAGAGAATAAAATCATGGCATTTGCAGGTAAATGGATCGCGTTGGAGAAGATAATGCTAAGTGAAGTTAGCCAATCCCAAAAAACAAATACCGAACGAACGTTTTCTCTGATATAAGGAGGCTGACTCATAGAGGGGTAGGGAGGGGGAGCATGGGAGGAATAGATGAATTTTAGATGGGGCGGAGAGGTGGGAGGGAAAGGGAGGGGGCAGGAGATTAGCAAGGATGGTGGAATGTGATGGACATCATTATCCAAAGTACGAGTATGAAGACACGAATTGATGTCAACATACTGTATATACAAGCAGAGATGTGAAAAGTTGTGCTGTATATGTGTAATAAGAATTATAATGCATTCTGCTGTCATTTATTTTTTTAAAAAATCAATTTAAAAAGGTATTGTGTTCATTTACAACTAAAAAAAAAATCGTAGGAAACTAGGGCCAGATAGAACATTTTGTACTATTTAGGTGCACTACTGAGTAAACTCTTTCTGGGGTTTTATTTTTCTCTCTTGCTTTATTTTTGTGATGAAGAAATGAAATAAAGACTCAATGAAGGCAAACAACTTGGCCAGACTCATCCAGGGAAAGAATCAAAGTTAAAACTGGGAACACAGATTTTTCTTCTTTATGTATAAAGGGCCCAAAGCACAAAGACTATTTTATTCATAGGTTTTCCCATTTTTTCCTCAGTACTTCTTTTTCTCACCTTTCTCTCTTAGCTCAAATTCCCAACTCCCTGGATAAACTATTTTGGAAATTAGAAAACTTTCTTTTAATGCAAATAATGCCTTTTTAAAAAACTTGTAAACACCCACAACATTTTTATGCTTAGTGACTTCATGCCAACTATGTATATTCATGGTGTATTGGGATCTATAAATGTCATTTGTATATTCATATACATTTGCATCCCAGATTTCCAAATCTAGTTGTTTTCCCTCCCCTTCCTGAGAGCAAGGCACACCCCTGACATTTTGGTATCCAAGCTTTAAATACAATTCAATTATGGGAACTTGAATTGGACACAAGTTATGGCAAAGGACAAAATATATTTCTTGATAGTTTCCTTCCAGTAATATTCATCATCTTTTACTAGAAAAGATTAACAGAGAAGTACTCAATGTATCTCTGGAAATGAAGGAGATTTTGACCTAAATAA